CTACGTGGATCATAACAAAGTGTAGATAGCTTTGCATCATCCAAGCTAATCATCAGAGAAGCTGGGTTATATATATAGAAAAGTGGGACATCAGGATTGGAGGGAAGCTTATTAACCATCTGAGACATGCGATGTCACAACCTTGCTTGCTGAAAATGAGGGGGACGTGAAGCACTTGCTGATGAAGTTCAAGGATTGCAGCCTTCAGTAAAGATTACAACTCAATGTCAAAGAAGATAAAAAATCCTCATAATTGGACCAGTCAGTAACATCGTATTACATGGAGAAAAGATTGAGATTATCAAGGATTTTTGTCTTCCTTGGATCCACAATCAATGCTAATGGAAGCAGCTGTCAAGAGATCAAAGGGCAGAGGCTGGTCCCAATCCCAACTATGTGGACATCTGCCCCTCCCCCCAGAGTAATTTATTTCAGAGAACAGCACTGAAGCTCCAGCTCCAGGAGAGGGACATGTCTGATCAGAGCACACGGGAGCAGATGAAGGGGGAGGAAGAGAGAGTGGAGCACCTCCTGGCCCATCAAGCCTTGAGGATAATATTCCTGCTCAGAGCAGCCAATCCACAGAGAAGACTATATGGCCAGCCCCACTATGAGACATGACATCTCTCACTGACCCATAGCCCTACAGGGGACAACACTGGAGACACAGTGTGGGAATTCTACCCAATCTCATCCCACCACACTGAGGCAAAACACTAAGGGCGTGGAACAGAACAGCAAGGGGAATAGAGCAATGGAGTCCCCAGGAAATACCAAAAATAGACTTTGGGGCCAGGGCTTGGTGCCCCATCAGACTCAACAGGAAAACACTCCTAAAGGCCAACAAATAATCCTTGAACTAACTACAAGCTTTTCTTTCTTGTTGTTGTGTTTTGTTTTTTGTCATTGGCTTGGTGGTAGTGTTGATGTTTTGTTTTCTTTTGTTGCTTGGTTTTGCTCTGTGTTGTTATTGTGCATGTTATTATCTCTGCAGGTCATCAAAATAAGATAGGCTGGATGAACAATCTGGAGGAGAAAACAACGGGACTGACAGTTCCGGGGAGGCATGGGAGAGGGGGAGGTGGGGGGAAAGGAAGTGGTGTTAACAAACCCAGGGACAAGGGAAAAACAAGTGATTCAAATCGGTGGTGAGGAGGGTGTGGGAGGCCTGGTAGGGTGTGACTAAGGTAGTGTGTTGTGCCAACCTGGCGGATAAACACATATGGGGTTAATTGAAAGGTGGAGAGATAAATGGCTCAGTGAGCCTGACCTTTCTAGTTCTCGGGTCTCTTGCTCTCTGATAGTCAGACCAGGGTGCAGCTGCCTTAGCCAGTTCCCTGTGTTAGCTGGCAAGGCTCACTTCCTGCAAGACATCCCTGAGGAGAAGCAACATGGACCTACCCCAATGCACCCTATGTGCTAGAGCACCCTCGTGGAGACCGCTGCCAGCGCTGAGATGTTTACACATTCACTGACTCGGCTTTCCTCCTGCAGTCGGCATCATTGCGTCTGTTTTGTAAGATGGAGGAGGACCTTGTGGATTGGTGTTGGACATATGGGTTAATGAGTTAATGTCAGACGTGGACTTGGGCAGCACTGGGTTGGGATGTTTTCTTGATGTGCACTTACCCTTTATATAAAACTCTGTTTCACACATATGAGTTTCTGTGGATTAGTTTCTTTAAAGTACCCAGACTAACACAGTGACCAAGGGTAATGTAACAGAGAGGAATTACTGAAACCTTAACGAAGGCTGAACATGATAGTGGAACAGGAGGAAAGTCAAAGGAAATAGAGGAAAGAGGTAGGAGGCAAAGGGCAATTATAGAGGTCTAAATAAAGGCATGTACATATGTAAATATATTTATATATGAAGATGTGGAAAGAGATCTATGTGCATATATGTATAGGTTTAGTATTAAGGTAGCCGATGGGTATTGGGCTCCACTCAAGTATTCCCTCAATGCAAGAATACTTTGTTCTATTAAATTGGCACTTCACGATGCTCACTTTCCTGACACAATCGCTGAAGACAAAGTGGGTTCATAAACAAATGTGGTGAAGAAAGCGGATGGTGCTAGGCTATCAAAAGATATAGTGTCTGGGGTCTTAAAGGCTTGACAGTAAACAAGTGACTATCTAGTTCAGAAGCAACAAAGCCCACTTTGAAGAAGCACACCAGCCTGTGAGATCAGGAGGCATCCACGGATCAGGCATCAGGCCTCAAAGACCAAAAAAATCATAGCATTGTTAATGAGGGGGAGTGAAGAGTGGAGAACCAAAGCCCATCTGTAGGCAATTGGACATCCCCTTACAGAAGGGTAGTGGGGAGATGAGCCAGTCAGGATGCAGTGGAGCAACAATGAAACATACAACGTTCCTCTAGTTCCTAAATGCTTCCTCCCCACCACTCCCATCATGATCCCAATTCTACCTTACAAATCTGGCTAGACCAGAGGAACTATACTGGTACAGGTAGGAACTGGAAACGCAGGGAATCCAGGGTGGATGATCCCTTCAGGACCAGTGGTGTGAGTGGTGATACTAGGAGGGAGAAGGGAGGGTGGGTTGGAAAGGGGGAACCGATTATAAGGATCTACATATAACCTCCTCCCTGGGGGACAGACAACAGAAAAGTGGGTGAAGGAAGATGTCGGTCAGTGTAAGATATGACAAAATAATTATTTGTAAACTATCAAGGGTTCATGAGAGGGGGGAAAATGAGGAGCTGATACCAGGGGCTTAGGTGGAGAGCAAATGTTTGAAGAATGATGAGGGCAACGAATGTACAAATGTACTTTACACAGTTGATGTATGTATGGATTGTGATAAGAGTTGTATGAGCCCCTAATAAAATGATTTAAACAAAGAGATCAAAGGGCACACTATATTGATTGGGTAAATTTGCTGCGTAATGACCTTTAAGTGTTGAAAAACAAGGATGTTCCTTGAGGACTGAGATGCACCTGACCCATGCCATTGTATTTTCAATGGCTTCATAAATGAAAATTGGGCGTTGAATAAGAAAACCTGAAGAAGAAGAATCAATGCATTTGAATTATGGTTCTGACCAAGAGTGTTGAAAGTACCATGGACTGCCAAAAGAAATAAATCTGTCTTGGAAGAAGTACAGCCAGAATGCTCCTTGGAGGCTGGTATGTTGTCAGGAGAGACCAGTCCCTGGAGAAAGACATCGTCCTTGATAAAGTAGCAGTGCAAAGAAATAGAGGAAATCTACGAGATGGATTGACATAGAGCTCGCACTGATGGGCTCAAACACCAGAGCAATTGTGAGGGTGACCCAGAAGTGGGCAGTGTTTCATTCTGTTGTAAATAAGATGGCTGTGAGTCAGGCCAGCACCTAGCAAAGACAAAACCATCCCTGGGACCAGTTGTATATTGAACTGTTATGACCAGAGAGTTTCGTTGACTGCTTTTCAGGAGTAAGTTGCAAGGCTATTTGCGCTGGTTTGTTTTGGTTTGTAGCCTCAGCGGAAAGCGGGTTACCATCAGCACCATGTGATCCTCCATTGATGGAGGCATGGGAGTCGTGCAAGAGATACAGTGGCCTACAATCAGCAAGTCACCTGCTCATTGAGAGGCTGGAATTCTTCTCTCACCAAACTACCATTGCCCCATGTTATCTTTGTGATTTGCCATCCTCACTTCTAAGGAGCAATTCTTCCTGCACCATTTTCTCAGACAGATTCGTTTGATCTTTATGCACTCTAAGTAGCGAGTTCTTCCTAGGACTGAGCTCACACCTAACTCCTACGATATTCACAGGTCTTGGTTGAATCCCCGGTAGCCCTCTGAACCAGGGTAATTTATCTCTTTAATGAAGGCCCATCAAACACAAACATGAGTTACCTTATTTCCTCTCTTGACTTAAGCTTTTCAGGTTTAATAAAATCTCCATGCACCCAGGAGTTCCTGGTATGACGTTGTTTGAGGTTTCTTTACCATCTTATTCAGATGAGAAAATCTTAAAGGGCCTTTCCAACTTTAACACAGTAATTGACGGTTTATTCCAGCTAGTGATATTTAAAGTGGGAGCTCAGGGTCGGCACTTTTCATGCATTTAGAACGAGTCCGTTGAAAATTTCTATTTCTGTTTCTTTAGGTTCAAAATCCTTTTTCATGGCAGAGACCCCTTCCTGTTATAAATAGTTCTGCTTCTAAAGAGCACTGAGGAACCCCTGGGTGGTGTAGTGGGTTACACACTGGGCTGCTAACTGCAAGGTCAGTGGTTCCAAACCACCAGCTGCTCCATGGGAGAAAGATGAAGCTTTTTACTTCCATCAGGATTGACAGTGCTGGGAACCTGCTCTGTCCAATAGGGTCACTATGAGTCAGAACGGACTGAATGACTGTGAGTTTGAAAGAGCATCACTTTGCCTTGCTTCTGGTTTTAGAATTTGAAAATGAAATGTACATAGAAGTAAAAAAGAAGTTTTGTTTCTCTACCCTCCAAAAAAATTAAGACCTAAGTACTTAAAAAAAATGTTTTTCCCCTGTAACACAGGACATCTACTGATTTTGCTTTCCTCTGATACCTTTTAGTAATATGCCACGGACACACCCAACACAGAAATCTTCTTCATGTACTAAACAGGAAAAACTTCCTTTACTTTGTGCAATCCAAATATTTTTCATATTACATCAAGTATAATTATTTCACTGTTGAAGGTCCTTGGAGCTCATCGGTGGCTTCTGAAATAAAATATTCACTTTTGTTTTTAGAGTGTGGTTTTTGATACTCTTTGCCTAAGACAACAGAGACTGTGACAGATTTGTTTATTTTTGTGTCAGGATTTGTCTTGTATTGAAGACAACAAAAGAACTGTAAGAGGAGTCCTTTGAGATATTTTCTCAATTTTCCTTTGAAGAAATGGCTCACAGCACAAAACCAGTCGCTGTTTAATGATTTCCCCCACACTGCCTTCCTCTTTCATTTTCTTCTTTGTGTGTTTACTCCTTCCTACCTCCTCACTCTCCTCTCCCTCTGTTGTTTTCTTCTTCAGGATTTCAGAGCAATGGCTCCCTCACTCATCTCGGGATTAAAATAAAGCTCTCTCTCTGTGCTTGAACAGGTATGAGTGTGTGTGTGACGAGTGTGGGGAGACAGAGGCTGGAAATGAGACAGATGGTTCTTTCATTACCTGATTGCTTTGGGTCGAGATGGATATATTATTTTTTTCAAGGAGACTAGACTGAATCCTTTGACTACCCAATCATGAACTACAGGAATCTAATATGGGGTGCTGGTTTAACCACCGGATTTTTTGGTTTTATTTAAAAATTTTGCCAATTCCTCATCTAGTAGAGGCTTTTCTGAGGATCAGATCTAAAAGTTTTTTAAGTATAAGGAATATGCTTATTTTAAAAAGTTTTACTGGTTTTAAGATTTTTTTGGTTAGCTAAGCCTTTCTTATATATCTTTGTATTTTATTTCAGGATTTGTGAGCAGGAAAGCCCCACAAACGTCCGACTTGAATTAGTTCCAGTAAACAATCCTGGAGACGGCCTCCTGAGCCTACAGCCTACAGATCCTCATTGACCCCAATCTTCCCCTCTTCTGGCACAGAGGACCATTGGGAAACTCATTCCTACAAGTGCAGGTAAGCCAAAGCAACACTCCTGTTGTTTCCTAGATTCCTTGGGTATGCTTGAATGCTTGAAATGTCCTCCAACACTATTTCCATCCACAGCTGATAGCCTTAAAATGCCTTCTGCTATGTATAGAACCAAAAAACTAAAGTCACTGCCATCGAGTTGAATCTGACTCATAGCAGCCCTCTATTACAGTGTAAAGCTTCCTTCTTTAAGTTTCTGAGATTGTTTTTAAAAATATGTATGGGAGCAGACAACCTCATCTTTCTCCCACCAGGGGCTGGTGGCCCTTTGGTTACCAGTATCTGTGCATAGCCCACAATGCCTGCCGCCCCACCAGGACTTTTTCTATGTACAGTATAGAACTGCCTGCTGATTTCTCTCTTACTAGTTTCACAGGGAATGTAGTGGTTACACGCTGGGCTGCCAACTTCAAGGTCAGTAGTTCAATCAAAACCATCAGCCCTGGGAGAAAGGGGCATCTCTCCACTCCTGTTGAGTGACAGGCTCAGAACCCCACAGGGGCAGTTTTTTATTATAGGGTCACTCCGGGTCGGAATTGACTGAGGGCAGTGCATTTGGTTGTTGGAGTTTTACAGGCGACCAGACTAGTCATCTAACTAAAGACTTGTCAGAGCCCCATGTCAAACTAAGAAAGGTTTAAATTCTCATTTTGAACAGTCTTTTGGGGCGGGCTACTTTAAGCCAGTGTGGAAGATAGGAGTGAGAAAATTGCAAAATGAAAGCCAGAGTGTCCCATAAGTCAGATGTATTGAAGAGGTGCTGTTGCTAAGCTGTGTAACTTTAGGCAAGAGGCTTGCCCTCTCAGAGAATTGTTCTCTTAAAAAAAAAACCACCTAGTTCTGTTATAAGAATTCCATTAAATTACCTTCATAGATGAAACTTTCTTCTCCCGTGAAGATTTGCAGGCTCGGGGACTCACAGGGGGGAGTTCTACCTTGCGCTGTAGGGTCGCTATGAGTCAGCATGGACTGGATGGCAGTGGCAGTCATGCCCCAGGGCATGATTGATAACATTCTCTAACATAAAGTGACAATGACCTCTCTAAGGTGAACCAGAGACATGTATAAACCATAGAGCATGAATGGATTTTAGGCTTGCACTTAATTCTAGCCCTACTCTAAGAACAATCCATGGCTCTAAGAACAAGACATGGCTGTGCTTGATGCTTGCCTTCACAGGGAGCTCACTGAAGATATCGGTGCTATAGCACAATGTGGTGGGGAAACTGACTTGTGCCTGGCTGGCAGAAAGAATAGTGTCTGAGGTCTTAAGGATTGTTTTCAAACAAGCAATCGTCTGAGTGAGACATCAACTAAGTCCACATAGAAGAACACACCAGCCTGTGTGATCCAAGACTGTAAATAACATAAACCAAATCCAAAGGAGGAAATGGCATCAGAGCTTAAATTGTGAACCCCTGGTTTTCAGAAGCCTTTGGAAACCCAAATTTCCATCTGCAGGTTCCACCCGTGGATGAAGCCTTCAGTGAATTCCCTCTGATCGTAATTGAGGATGTGAATAGACCTGTTTCAGACAGAGAGCATTGTGGAGTCAGTTAGGGTAGATGTACATAGGTTAAAATGTAGTATCTCTTGACCCATGTTACAGATGTTTCCGGTTATTTTGTTTGCTTGTTTTGTTTTTCAGTGAAGAGGAAGTTCATGTAGATTAAGCCCCTGGTGTATCCCCTCTGACCATGAACCAGGGATGTGAATAGCCTTGCTATCTATCATGCAGACTGCATTGGGAAGTGGAGTGTTGCAGAAGCAGTTAGGTTAAAATTTAGCACCCTATCATTTGATCTCCTTTATGATCCATTTTAATTTGTTTTAGTTTTTAGGATTTCTTGCTTTTCTATTAAAGTTTTTATCTATTGTACTTGGTTACTCTTGTTTGTTTTTTAATGTATTTCTGTATATGAAATCCAGGATCAGTAAACCTGCAGAGACAGTAACTGGATTCATGGTTCATTAGGGGTGTGGCAGGAGAGGGTGGGAGGAAAGGAGGAGCTAATAACTGAGTAGAAGAATGAAGAAAATGTTCTAAAACTGATTGTGATAATGATTGTACAACTTCTTGATGTGAATGGACTCTTGAATTGTATGATATGTGAATTATATGCCAATAAAACTTGAAAAAATTAATGAATAAATAAATTACCTTAATATAGTGCTTAGAGTTACTCTCTTACTAATCTTGGACTCAGTGTACAAATTTTAGACAATAGTCTTCTTCTCACAGAATTGTTTTGAGGATTAAGATAACCACACATCTAAAGTATTGAGAACAATTTTGTTACTCTTGTGCTCTGCTCTTTCAAACTCACTGCCACTGAGTGGATGCCAACTCAGAGTGACCCTGTAGGACTGGGTAGAACTGCCCATGTGAGTTTCCAAGACTGTAACTCTTTATGGGAGGAGAAAGCGCTTCTTTCTCATGAGTAGCGGCTGATGGTTTTGAACCACTGGCCTTGTAGCAGCCCAACGTGTAATCATGATATCCCCTTGTGTTCTAGTTCAGGGATGATAAATGTTCAAATGGCCTTATCCTATTGGACACGGCTAGTCAACTGTGTTGTTCTTTGCTTCTGTGTGAAGGGCATGTGATCTGAATCTTCTCAACGTCACAGAGGACCACATTATACTATAAAATGAAACCTATTTACAAACTCATATTTTTCCTGATTTTATTTCTTGCAGACAGACATAAATTTGATAGATTAGTGATAAAATGGTGTTGCTACTTTTTTTTTTTTAAGTTACTCTCTCAGTGCCAGGGAGACAAATCCAAGTCCTAGTGACTCTATGGGACAGGATGGAACTACCCCACCCCTCTAGGCTTCCGGGCCGTACTCTTTATGGAAGCAGAGACCCCCATCTTTCTCGGACGGAGCAGCTGCTGCTTTCAAACTGCTTGCCTTGTGGCAACTCACAACACCACCTGGGCTCCTTTTTCCTAATTGCAGAGCAATATTCTGAAAAAGCATAAAAAAAGGTGTTTTCTGTAGGCAGAAATAGAGTCCGTAGGCAAGTTCTACAACGAGTTTTGTCAATGAGTTCCTACTACCGGTCATTCCTTTCCTTCTCCATTCGGAAGGAGATGAGTAGGACTTCCTGCCACTGACAACTTGGAAAGGCCACAAGGAATATGCAGAAATAATTGCCAACACAGGCAGCTATGAGTTCGCTAGGATCTGTGTTAGGATGATATGGAGTTAGTTTATTAGTGAGAGTTTGGTGTGCGGGTAGCTCGTACGTTATTAGCTGTAAAAAAAGGAAAATTACCTAATGTCAGACATTTTCCCAAGCACTTCCAATAATACTCTTCACAATAGTCCTACTCAAACTCAGACTTGAACTTCATTGTCATCGAGCCCATGTCAACTCATAGAGACCCTGTAACACAGGGTACAACTGCCGCTTTGCGTTTCAGAAACTAACTCTGACTGGGAGCAGAAGAGCATCATTCTCCCAAGGAAGGGGGGTGGTTTCCAACTACTGACCCTGCAGTTAGTCACCCAGTGCATCACCACCGTGCCACCAGGGCGTCCTATTGGACAGGTATAATTTCTCACTTTACAGATGAGGAAGTTGAGGTATAAAGAGATTTATCCACTTTCTCACGGTCCTATAATTTGCTGAGATACAAACCCAGGGGGGTCTGATTTACTTTTATCCTAGTCTGTCATCTTGACCCTGGATTCTGCTTTATAGCCATGCACAAAGAGTATATTGTATGAACAAAATAAGAAATTAGATGGAAAGGACCACATAATTAAAAAGTCTTCAGTGCTAAGCTAATTAATTGCATTTTTATTTGTCAGACAAAGGGAGGTTTACGTGTGTGGGGGGGGTAGTGAATGACAAGAGAGGTAGACTTTTTAAGAAGTCTGTCATGTATGCAAGTGGACTGATTAAAGGGAAGACAGATTAGAGATCACTGCCAGTAGCTGAGGAGATATCTATAGAATGTGGATTTAGGAAACAGGATTAAGACAAGAACATGCATTTGGGGGGCTAGCAGAGGACGAGAACCAGTGGAAACGAGGCCAGCCGAGGTGTTCGGACAGTTTAAGACGTAAAAATGGTAAATACCATAGTAGATTGGATTGGAGAGCACTTAGATCACTACCTCATTCGTTCCTTTATTGACGCAAAGAAGAGACACGATTGTGTGCCCCTGATCAAGCAGAAATTGTGCTGGAGCAGAGTCCACATGCTTTTCTGTGCTGGTGACTCAGCTACTTGAAAGGCGGTGTCCTTTGACAATTTTTTGAAACTTTTCTAAACCCTGGCTGCCTCTTTCAAAATATGATCAAGTAAAAACTTATTCTAAACACCCTGTATCTTTGTGGTCTTTTCCAGTTCTAATTGGAATCTGTAATTCTTGAGTCCAAGTAAGTTGGGAAGAAAACAATAATTAGATCCATTATTGTAAGGTGTGACCAATAGCTCGGTTGGTACTTTCAGGAGGATAGGGAGGTGATTCAGAACAATATATCTTTTACTTCTCATCTGAAGGTAGGAATTCTACATTGTTCCTCTTAAGAATACCTATGGTGATACTGGTGGGAGGTAGCAGACTGGAAATAATGTGGGATGGAATATGTCCAGGGAATTAACATAAAAAAACACAAACATTCTTCCCAAAGCTACTTAATTTTAAAGAACTGTGCCTCCTCCCCTTTCCCCAGCAAGTTCTACTAATGGGAAAATGTTAAAGATGAAGAACAAAAAGAGGCAGCAAGGACCTTCGAATGAACTTCAAGTTCTCCTAAAAGACTGTGTGTTTCTGGGAAAATCTGGTCCTCTCGGAGGAGTAGTGCCCTTTCAAGAGAAAGAAGTCCTTGCCCCCGAGTCCCGCTCTTTGCGGTGAGCAGACACAATTTCCCGGGGAAGAGTTTCCCTTCCGTCCGTTTGGGTGCTTAGGCCGTCGCCCTCCTGAGGTGCAGATTTGTCTGTGCATGCTGTGGATGAAGTCCTCC